CTAAGTTTCACATCAAGGAAGGAACAAGACAAGCATACTACACTTAGAACAACATGCCAATGTTATATAAACACCACATGTGTCATTTAGACCTTGTTTGGGAACAGCTTAATTTAATAATTTTTTGGTTATTTAATTAAAATGTGAGCTAAAAAAAATTAATATGTTTAGGATGACTTTTTGACTTTTTACAAAAAAAATATGTAAAAAATAGAGAGAAAATAAAATTTTTGATTTTTTTGATATGAATTATTGACTTTCTAACTAATTTAGTAATTTTTTAATTTTTTAATTAAAATAAAAGATTCGCAAACGAGCTTTATTATTAAGTAGGATTTCCCATTCCGTTAATGGATCTCTTGTCAAAGTCAACTTTTTATATTATGATAGTCAAGATTTGATCACATGCAGACTACGTCAATGATGTAATTTAAATTTAAAATTCTAGGAGGTCATGATGGAATCTTCTCAGATCTTTCCCATGTAGTGTGAATTTGTGTACGCGGTGAAAACAAAATGCACTCACATTAGTTAATTTCACATTGTTTGTGGGACTACTCTCTTAATTCAACATCCTGTTGGTCAATTTCAAATTATTTATAAAATTACTATTTTTAATTTAATCCATCAAAAAGTATATTTTATTTACCTTGTTTAAATAAATTCACACTCCTTTGACACGTGGTGCACAATGCAAGCCGTAGTAGTTGGATTCAAAACTTAAAAGATTCGTTTTTATGAATCTCTAACAAATTATAGTTTTATACGTAAAACTAATAAATTATAAATTAAATTATGAACTATACATAACACAAGGTGAATCACAATACCGACGTGAATCATACATAATCTTGTATGAATATGGGGGCTTACATATAGATATGGAAGCAGCTAGTAATTTAGGTTACGTTTATTTTAATATAAAATATTTTTATTTTTTGTTATTTGTTATTTGCTTGAACCAAAAATAAATAAAATATTTTTGAATCATTTTTTCAAAAATGACTTAAACCAAACCAAACTAAATTTTAAATCCCATCAAATAAGGTCGGCTGCATGAATCCTTCTTCTTCACTTAGTTTTATCCAAAGTCATTTTGTTAGTTAAATTAAGGAGATTCATATCTCTATTTACTGCACTAGTTTACGTCAATCTAGGTCTATCTCTTCCCCTAACATTACCATCTACCGTTACTGTATTGCATCTCTTCACTATTGTCTCTCTTGATTTCCATTATATATGACCAAACAATCTCAATCTATTCTCTCTTAACTTATATTTTGTTAGTACTATTCTTACCGATTCTCGAATATACTTATTCCTAACTCTGTTTTTTCTAGTCTTGTCACATATTCACCTTAGCATTTTAATCTCAGTAACACTCATCTTATCTACATGTTATTTCTTAGTTGCTCAACATTCCATCCCATACAACACTATTGGTCTAATAACTGTTCTATAGAACTTCCCCTTTAATCGAATGGGTACTCATTTATCGCATAGTACTCCAGACACAGCTCTCTATTTAAGTCACTCCGTCTTAATTTTATGCATCACAACTGCTCCAATCTCCTTAGTCATTGTAATAATCGATCCTAAATAACGAAAATATCAATCAAACACTGAAAAATAAAATAATATTTTTTTTATATAACATCAATTTTTAAAAAAAAAAAAACTTTTTTTTCTTCTGTATAAAATATTTTATGTCTAAACACACACCAAAAAAAAAAAAAAAACGTTCTCTTTTTTTGTACCATCAATCACATCCAAATATTGCGAAGTTTTTCTTCAAGTCATCGTCAATTTTGTACAACTGTTTATGCAATTCGTTCACACATGGCGAAAAAAAAAAAAATCCCAAATAAAAGCAAAATATTGACCATATTTTTTATACAATTTCCCCCCTACAATCACATGACAGTTACATATTTATAAACTATGATCAAAATATTAGCTTTGTGTTTTAAAATAATCACACTAGTAATTTTGTATAATAATTCTCTACCTTTTTTCTATTTTTATTTTTTTAATAAATAAAACTTATTAAAAAAAGAACATCAAGAAAATGCTAAACTATACAATACAAAAAATCAAAAACCCAGCAACCATTTTTCTATTTTTATAACGTGGACTTGTCTAAATCGATACTTTAATGATGTATTTGGTTGAGAGATTTGGAAAAAAATTTAGAAAGGAAAAGGGAAAAAATTGTACGAAACTAGATCAAATGTAAGTATATTTTATTCATATTTCATCTATATTTTCCCTTTCCTTTTTCAATTTTCTTCTCAAATCTCTCCACCAAACACAGCATAAGCAGCTCGCTATACTTGGTTTCTTCCCCCATTTGCTCATTTTTTTTTTTTTTACTTTTCCTTTCTTCTTTTACAGTTACTTGCATCCCTAGATAGCCAATTTTCTTTGAGTTGCTCAGGAAGAGGTATTTTCCTTCTCATCTACTAGACACTTATTATTATTATTATTATTATTATTATTATTATTATTATTTGGGATAAATTACACAATTGATTCCTATAATTTTATGTAAATTTCACTTTAGTCATATTTTTTTATATCGATTTCACTTTAATTTTCATAGTTATAATTTTATCAATTTTGTCCATACACTTTCATTTTGGTTCCAATGTACTCCATCTATCATTATCCATTAATATTCAAATTGAAAAAAATAAAAAGAAATGACATTTGTGAACTTAGAGGGACAAAATAAAATTCTGTTAAGATTTATTAATTTTTATTTTATGAGAGGGAATTGCTAGCATGCACATGTCAATAGAAAATGTTAGTTTTCTACGCAAATAACAATGACAAATGACAGTCGAATCATATTAAAATAGAAATGAAAATATGGTATTTAAATTGTTGAAATTAAAATTACGAAAATTAAAGTGAAATTTTGTTCAAACCATAGGGATCAATGATGTAATTTGCCATTTTCTCTAGTCCTCTATTCAGTTTGGGCCGCAGGCCAACCACATACCCTCACTTTAATGATTTGATCTGTTAATTTTATTAGTGTACTGATCATTCATAAAAAATTAGATTGATAATCAAACAATCTGTTTCAAAATTATACTTGTTATCTATTTCAGTGAGGACAGACATGATAAAATCATATTTTTATAATTATCTAATCAATTTAATTTTTTCGTGAATGGTCCACACATTGAGGTTTAAAAGATCAACGGATCAAATCATTAAAATAGAACTCAGACCAAACTAGACCAATCCACATAGCGCACTAGAGACAAACCAAACCACTAAATCAACTCTTAGTTGCACTCCATCAATTTATAATTACTGTTCTCGCTTGTTATTTATTTATGAAATTATTCGTATATATCCTGATGTATTTGAATAATAGATTACAATAATGAAAAATTACATATCAAAGTGTAAATTAAACCAAAACGATCTAATGTAAGCACATAATTTTACAAAACACAAAGGACGGTAATAACAAACCATCACCCAATTTGTTATCATTGTGGACTCAACAGTACATAAAAATCACCTCCCCCCATCCATTGGCGACGCCATATGTTCCCTCACACTATCGTACCCAGTTGTTGTTGTGTTACCACTGCTAGTAGTACAATCTAACTCAAACCCACTTAACTTCCCACCAAGCAAGTGCTCACTCTCTTCACCATTCAAATCAATTTTAACCCATGGATGCTTCTTCATCTTTTTGTTGATCAACCCCTCCAATTCCATTGCTACTTCCTTCATAGTAGGCCTTTCCTCTCCTTTTACTATTAAGCACCTCTTTGCAATATTAGCTACTTCTGTGAGCTCCTCAACAATTCCTTCAATTTCTATTTGTTCATCAATAACTTGGAATAGCCGATCATTTTTCATACAGGAAAGAAAATACCTAGCCAGACTCCTCTCCTTCTCTGGCTTGTCAAATGACAACACCTTCTTTCCGGTGATTAGCTCCACAAGCACTACTCCGAAGCTGTAAACATCACTTTTTTCTGTCAATTGGTTTGTGAGCATGTACTCAGGGTCTAAGTATCCAAGAGTTCCTTGCACCACTGTTGCTAATTGATCTTGGTCTAGTGGAACCAACCTTGATGCTCCAAAATCCGACACTTTTGCAGTGTAGTTATCATCTAAGAGTATATTCGTAGACTTAACATCTCTATGAATGATAGGAATTGATGTTGCAGAGTGCAAATATGATAGTACTCCAGCCGTTTCAGCAGCTATTCGCAAACGATTTTCCCATGACATATTAGAAGCTTTGATGTGGTTATGTATATGCTCAAAGAGAGTGCCATTGATGATGAATTCATAGACGAGTAAAGGGACTTGAGTTTCCAAACAACAACCTAGGAGTTTGACCACATTCCTGTGATTGATCTGTGAAAGCACAACCACCTCATTGATGAATTGCTCTATTTGACTTTGATTCATAATTTGCGATTTTTTGATGGCCACTGTGGTGTTATCTACTAGAATTCCCTTATAAACTGTTCCAAAACCTCCTCTGCCAACAATTCTATTGTCATCATAGTTGTTGGTAGCCCGCTTGAGCTCTTCTAAAGTAAAGATTTTGACCGCTTCCCGAGTCGGTCTCTCTAGTCTAGAAAGTTGTTGTTTCAACATTAATCCACCATTTTCCTTGAAGAACTTTTCTTTAAGCTTCATGTGCCTTCTTTTGTTGAATATCCAATACAACCAGGAGCTACTCACCAAAACAGTCAAAGCACCAATGGCAATACCTGTATTTCAAATAAGTCATTTTATGTAACAAAGACTATAAATATCTTGCCAATATATTGATTTGAAACTAAGCATAGTAAGAAAATTATATGACTCATGATATTAATATAAAAAATGTCATATAAACTTACAATTTTTACAATTTTTTTATTACCAATAATGTAACATGTAATAATAAAACTTTAAACTCGAAGCATACCCATCGAAATAATATGATATGTATCATATGAGTGAGTTAGATAAATTTGTAAAATTTATTAATTTATATAGCATTACCCTATTAATAAATTTAAATATTCTTTTAAGTTACTGGAGTATAAAAGGAAGTGGATCCAATTGGGGAAGTAGGTTACAAGTAAATTCTTCCAAATTCATTAAAATGTAAATTAGATGTTGTACTTTATTTATTTTACTTTTGACATATATGGCATTACCAATCACAATCTGAAGCACAAGAACTCGACCAGCAGTGCAACGTGTTCCATCTGTTTTGCCATCACCCTGGTAGCTCTTGGGACAAGAGCACGTATAATTCCCAGGCGTGTTTAAGCATTTGCTTTCCTCTACACACTGGTTGAGATTTAGATCTGCACACTCATCTATGTCTGCAAAACAATCAAAACATAGGAGGGAGGGCTCAATTATGAAATTAAAGCATCACAAAAGCAATATATATAGAATCAAAAGTAATTGAATCCGAACATGATGAATGAAGCTATCTAAATGGGTACTACTAACCTATGCAACCATCTGAGAGGTACGCGTTCCCTTGGTAACCCTTGGAACAGATGCAGCTATACCCAGCAACATTTTCGGCATCATAACAATCACTATTTTGTCCACATGCATAACTTGTAGAATTTCTTTTAGCTTCTTCGCATGTCTCATTATTCCCTATTCCCCAATCAAGCACCATCGGCAGCATTTCTTCTTTAAAATCTTGAAGATAAGTTGTGGAGAAATTAAATGCACCTTCTTCAACAACAAATGCATAGCTACATGGATTGAAGCCCCATACATTTGTATGATTGTTGAAGCTGTTTGCAATAATAATAATTTTGCCGACTCCTTTTGGGATGGAGGTTTGGCAACAACCGTTTCCAGAGCAAGTTCCATTAGAAGCGTAGTGCATGGTTACACATTCTGAGACACACCCGGTTGAAACAACCAAAGAATCGTTTTCAGCCTGTATTACGATTCCTCCATATGTATCGCAACCAATAGCAGTGAACTTGTTCTTGGTTTTTGATATGGAGAATTTTCCCGTCCTGAGTAATGGATAGTTGTTCCTTTGTTGTGTACCAAACCGGTCATAACATTGATGAGATATGTAATTCATGATGCGTAGCTCACCCTCCTCAAGCGATATATTTGAAATAGTGATATTGCTATTCCGTAAATATGGACGGGAATCACTACAATTAATGAAGAAATCATTGCTGAGATAACAATTCTTTTCCACGCCGAATGGGTATGAGATGTTTAAATTCCCACAACGGTTCATGCAGCCATGATTCTTCAAATCTGCTTCTGTTGGTGGTGCTGCAATTGTTGTCGCTGATAATGACAATATCACCACCACTACTTGTACTAGTACTGGCATCATGATGATGGGATGTAGTTGCAACTGCATTCCTTGCGAGGTAGCCATGGCTAGTTTGCCTCTTGGAAAAAAGCTTTTCTATATTCAAAATTCATATATAATCGTCAATTGTCAAACATTTCTAGGCAATCATGAAGAAAAAGTATTCCAAGTCGATTAAAGTAAATCAGTACAAAATGGTTACATAACTTATTGGAGTGATCTGTGACTAGCCTAACAACTGTATGGATGGAATTCACCATAATAAAAAATTAAAAAATCAAATTAACTTTGCCGGTTGTATCAATTTAGTCTTGTAGCTCCTGTTGTATTAATTTTTCCCTATAATATTTTATATTGTGTTGATTTAGTTTAGTTGATAAACATTTGCTGATAAATTAGAATATATATATATATATATATATACATGTATCCATTTAGATTAGACATCAATTTCTCAATGACTTTTAAAAGAGCTTATATATGTCGATTAATTTCAAACAATTTCTAAAAAGATTTATTAATTGAATTAAATCGACACAATATAAAATATTTAAAGGTAAAATTGATACTCATAGTCTCTGTTTGGTTGAGTTTTCATAATCTACTTGTGAAATTTTTTTAAAAAAAATTACATACTAGTTTTCACAAAGTAAACACAAAACAATTATTTTTAAATTTTTAAAAATTATTTTCATTCCAAAAAAGAGAAAATTATATGAAAATAATGAGTTTTTTAAAATAAAAAAAAATTTCTTTTACCAAATTAGTTTTTTTTTTTTTAAAATTCTCAAAACTTAACCGAAAAGAGTTTGTTCATGATACCAAACGCTAACCAAAGCATACAACTTCAAAAGGCAAATCATGCTCTTATGATAGAACAAAAAGTTTCCAGAAACCAACAAATGATAGTACTAGAGAGAGATCATGCAATACAACCAAAACCAAATCAAACCCACGAAGATGTCACGCAAATGGGATGCAAACACCAGGATTGGATCAATTGAATAGTACAAATGCCTACCTCAGAGAAGGGGGGGGGGGAACCTTTAAAACAGTTTTCTTGGCTTGGAACAGTCCTCTCCCCACTTTTGCTTTTGTTGGTTGTAGAGAGCTTGCTTTTGAAGCAGTTATATATATATATATATATATATGGATTTGCTGCTTCGTTTTGCAAGACTATTCTGTTTGGCTAGTGCCCTCTCTTGTATTATATATATATATGGATTTGTTGCTTCATTTTGCAAGACTACTCTGTTTGGTTAGTACTCTCCTCTTGTATTTGTCTCTAGGACTGCTTTGGTAACTTACAAGTTACAATAATAGCAAAAAATTTTAAAAGTTAAATAACTATAAAAATAAATAAAAATCAAAAATTCACTTCTCTCTGTTTATTTTTTTTGTATATTTTTTCATAAAAAATTAAAAAATCATTCCAAATATTTTTCACAATCAACGTAATTCTATTTGCACAATACAAAAAGTTTTAGTATACACTATTTGTGTTGTTTAAAAATATAAATAAAAATAAATTGCTCATATATACATTATGTTCAAAAGTTTATATTTGAACAACTGCTATTTGTTTAGAAATTTATATTTGAACATTTGACTTTTGTTATGAAATTTATATTTGAACCGAATAAATAATATATATATATATATTGAGATTTTTTGTAATATATGCTAATAGAATTTTCGTATGTCTTTTTGATTTGTTCTACTTCGTCTATATTTACTTCCTTCACAAGATAGACTGACTTTTATTTGTGCGGCTATTCTAACTTAAAAATTACACTCATTTTTAAAAATCAATGATATAGCAGTCTATTTAAGACAATTTTTTTTTTTATGCATTATCTGATTATCAGCCAATTTTTTTTTTACACGTCACTAAATTTGGAAAAATGGTCTAAAAAATAAAACTTTTGTAAAAAAACATCCAATTAGCGTTGATCCTCTTATTGATGTTACAATAGCTGACTCCAGTCATTTGGAGGAACAGTATTATTGGTGTGCGGAGTTAAATTCTAATTGAATTTGGAATCCGGTAGTGCATTCATGAATGTTTACTAGTCCAACTTGAAGAGTCTTGATAGCCATAGTCGATTGCCAATTCTCAGCAAGACTAATTCTAACTCATGAATTGTCTAAATTTTGTACGTCAATGCTCCCAATTTTATTTATTCTATTTGTGTATTTATTCAGTACATCTTATTTACGTATTGCTCCAACTTACATATTAAAAAAAAAAAAAAAAAACTACATTCACACAATTTTTTTCCCTCAAATCTTATCGAATGAGACTCTTACGTGAAAGTCAGAAAAAAAAAATATGTAAATGAATCGTTAATCTAAAACATATTTATTCATATTTATTATATAATTCAAAAAATAAATAACACAATTACTAGAGAATTTTATTATATACACCTCCATATCATATACACTCTTAGTTACGTTATTTTTTTATTTAATTATTAATTACGTTATTTTCTTCTTTAGTTATAATCAAATTTTTTCTGTAGTTATGATATTATTTTTATATTTTAGTTATGATTTTTTGTGTTTGATTATGAATTTTTTTGGTAGCGTTTGATTGTGTTTTGTAAATGTGATTTGAGAGTATGAGTTGTATTTTGAGTTTGTGTGTTGTGGAATTATGATTTGAGTGTAGAAAATTTGTTTGGTAAAGAGTTTTGAAAATAGTTTTGGAAAAGAGGTTTGATTTGAGTGAGGAATTATTGATGTGACATTTGATATGTGATATAAAAATTTACAACTCATAACTAAATATATAACTCAAAATTATTTTAAAGCACATAAAAAATTTAAAAATTTTCAAAAAATATTTGTCCCGATTATGTAAATCAATTGCAAAAAAAAAAAAAAAAAAAAAATCTGGAAATCAGCCGGACATCCGGGTGGACATCCGGGTGGTCTACCGGGTGGACATCCGAGTGGTCTACCGGGTGGACAACCGGGTGGACAAAAAAGGCGCCTGTGCATCAGAGTTCTCTCTGCAGAGTGTAGAAAATTGATTTGAAAACGAAACCAAACATCATGCTCCAACACACGGGTAGAAAATTGATTACAGAACACAACCAAACAGAGCCTTTATTTTTTTAGTTATGACTTAGAAAGTTTAAAATTATACATTTTTCTTCTGTAGTTATAAAGTATATATGATACACACTCTTGTACCATAATCTTTCCCCACAATTACTATGCATTGCAATTTCTCTTCTTTTTTTTTATTTGTCAAATAATAGGAAAGTAATTACAAATATGAGAATATTTACATTACTAAATAAACTATTAGTCCACTATAATTAGAAAGTCAATAAAACCTAACACAATCAATATACCAACCCACCAAGCCCAAGCCCAACACCCAAATAAATCATCACCACAACCCCATAATGGGGGAGATAATGGAAGAGAAATAAATAACCACCACATAAGATATTAGGCCCCGTTTGTTTTCAGAGATAAAATGGAAGAAATTGATAGTGAGAGGCTTAATAGTGAGGAGATTGTTAGTGAGGGTATTAATAGTGAGGGGATTAAGTAAAATTGTGTTTATTTTGATGGTAATTGTTAGTGTGGAGATTGTTAAATTATTACCCTATACAAGAAATATAAAATATTAAAACAAATAAAACTATGATTTTTACTTAACAAAAAATACAAAAACATTAAACATTAATGTTAAAAAAAAATGTCCAACATGTAAAAAAAAAATACCTAATCCCATGGGACTAATTTCCTAATACCACCTCTACCTGATCCATCCCAATCCTAACACCAAGTGTAACGCCCTAAAAATTAACCCATTATATATATCAATGACATGCATTATTTAAAGAAAACACTTCAATAATTCATTATAATATTTATCAGAGTCTTACTAAACAAAAGCATTACACGTAACATCAAATTAAATTCCCTAACGACTTACATCTTTCCAAGCCAACACTTGGACACAAAAGTATGAGTTCTAACTCAAATATAAATAAAGCCCGAGGCTTGAGTGTTTACATGTACTAACAATTAAAAACAAACAACTAAAGATAGTCTTCAAAATCCAAAT